TTTTTCAATCTTCTACCATCTTGAAGAAAGCCTAACTCATGGTCAGGCTCTAAATGTTCCTGTAGGATTCAGTTATTCTAGGAGATGGTTTTTGCAGAGATAGACCTTCTGTCTGTTTCCACAAGCTGTGACTTGTATCTTCATGCAAGCTCACCCTCTCTCTCTCTTCACCTCTGAGCTGGTCTCTAAAGGTTGTAATGTTTCAGCTGGACTCATGGAGTGTGTTTCATTTTGCGACATCAGGAAACACAGACAGAATTGGTGATGTTCATCCTCCTACGCTTGGCAGAGGATGTGGTGACTTTTCAAACACTGCCTACCCAGCGGCGACGAGATATCCAGCAAACCCTCACCCAGAACATGGAGAAGATCTTCAGCTTCCTGCTTACTACCTTGCAGCAGAATGTCAACAAATACAGACGCATGGTAAGAGTCTCCTTTCCTTAGGTTCAGTCAGTGCTGGAGGCTTTTAGGAGCTGGAGAATCGTCTGGGAAGCAAGTGCAAGAAACTCTCTGAAATCTGTGACCCTGGGTTTAGGGAAGGGATCTGCTGTAACCTAGGAAGCCTGTGCTGATCAAAAAATACGAGAGCACGAGGAGACAGGATTGACATCAGTAGTTTGGATTTGGTCGTGTAAATCTCCTGAGGGAAAGTGTGCATCATGCTTATTCGTTGGACCGCTCATCTGGCTGACACTAGGGTGTGCAGCTTAGCAAAATGAAGGTGCAGTTGTGACAGAAACAGGTAGCTTTGGGGTAGCTTAGATAACAACACTGGTAAAGAGATGTCATCCTGGGTATGCATCCTCTGTCTTTTGCTGCAGTTACATCCTTGTGTCGATGCACCAAAACGTGCAAGTTCTTGGTGTCTCAGCAGTGTATCTGGGTCTGTCTGGTCCTTTTCTCCTAGAGCTCAGGTCGGGAAGCCCTTTTCTGTCAAGATGTGCTGAGGAATGCTCTTGCCTTGTGCCTAAAGAGGCCTCCTCTTCCCTGAATTCTTACCTGCTGTCAGAGGCATTCAGGTTGATCGAGATAGAAGGTGATGGCAAATCTCTACCCCAGGCTGTTCTCATGAGCAGGAATTAGATTGGAGAAGGTGAAGCATACGTGAGAAGCCAGTCTAGAAATAAGCTGCTTATGTGTACTTCTTGTTCTTTTCTTTGTAAATTAAAATCTAGAGTTACACTAAGCATGAAGCTGGGAGGCAGTGAAAAAGCCTGTCCTACCTGACTTCCATCCATTTTACTGATGCACTAACAGACTGAGCAAATCCTGCTATAGAGCAGGCAGTTCTATGTGCAGTTCGTGGTGGTGGGAGGGAACCCTGGTGCGTTTTGTAGTCTGGTTGAAATGCATTTCCAGGTAAGGTTTGAATTGCAGTGCTTGAGGCTCTGAAGTGTGGCTGCTTCTGCTAACGGTGGAATCTTTCTGATTGGCAAGGTTGGAGCACCCCAGGAACAAGAAGCCCTCACCACTCCACAGGTTAGCAGATCTTTGGGACGTTTGTGCGCAGGGTAAATTCTCAGGGTTGGGTGTTCAGTTACGTGTCTGTACACTGAGACTGGTGAAGACCATATACAGTTCCCCAAGACCATAATCTGCGGTTCTTGTAAGAACGCAGTTTTGCTTCAGTGGCTCAGTTGTTAAATGGTTCAGGCACAGAGTGACTTAAAATCACTGCACAGAATATGTTGATGGACAGAGTTTCCAAACTAAAACCTTGCAACAGAAAGATATGCTTGTGGTGTCTTTGCCTTTGAAAAAACAATCACAGCTGAGTGTCTGCGGCACTCAAACGGCCTTTGCATCACTTAGGCCAGAAGGTGGTAGAAGCAGTGCATTGCTGCTGCTAAGTGTTTGGAACTGCAAGTCAGGCTGTAAGCTCTTTCCCCAGCTCTCATCTGCTACTTTTCTGACCATGGACAAATCACTTACCCTTTCCGCACATCAGTCTCATAAGATAAAAGCCACATGCATCTTTCAGAGATTGTCTCTTGGATGTAAGATGCTCTGAAAGGACAAAAGCATCTTCCCTGGAAGCTTCTAGGAAGCATTGAAGTGCCTTTCCTTCTTGTGCCCTGTATCTCCCTGGTGCCTGCTGACTGGAGTGTCGTCTTTTGGATGAGAAGGAAATTGTGTCTGAACTTGCAATTGAAAGTTCGGTTTTCTTACCTGCCAGGGGGCTGTGGAGGTGGTTGTGATGGCTATAGTGATATCCTGAGCTGCAGACTGTATTGCAGCCTCTTTCGCTAGGGAGCTGTTCCACGAAGCTGCTACCAGTTGCGTTCTCGAGAATAAGCCTGTCCAGCAGTGGCTGGATGGAAGTGTGCACTGCAGCTGCTCGCTTAACAATCTCTTCTTTTCTTTTTCAGAAGGCTGATCTGGGTCAGGAGCCAAAGGTGAGTGCAGCTGTTTAAGAGTTAATGCATTGGTCATTCTTAATGTTGTGTAGAACCAGTCTTCTGTCAGACTTTGGAGTCTGTTATCCACAGTTCTCGTTTACAGCCTGACTTGTCCACCCATAATATAAACTCTTTTGGAGAAGTGAGAGGTGCACAAGGGGAGAAATGACCGGTCCTTGACTGACTTCCTTAGTGTGAGGGCATGGATGCTTTTGCTGCCACCTCACTCTCTCAAGGCGGTTCTTCTTTGTCCACTCTCCTCTGGGGAGTGGACAGCTTTAGGTGGGAATTGATGTTTTCTTTGGCTCTGACCTTTTGGCTCCTCTCTGTTTGCAGGCCCAGGCAAACTGCCGTGTGGGGATTGCAGCACTCAACACCTTGGCTGGCTACATTGACTGGGTGGCCCTGAGCCACATCACAGCAGACAACTGCAAACTCTTGGAGATGTTGTGTCTGCTCCTAAATGAACCTGAGCTCCAAATAGGAGCAGCAGAATGTCTCCTCCTCAGCTCCCTGCCCCCTCCCTCTATTTTTTTTTTTTCCTCCTCCTCTTCTGTATATTTTTTCAGATTAAGCAAGGATATATTTGCCTATTTGTTTAAGGAAACAAAGTTCTCCTTGTTCTTGGCTGCTCATGTTAATGACGTTTAGAGTGAATGTCGTACCAATACAATACATAGGATACTTGTTGGAACCCTCTCCAACGTTTGTGCTTACCTCTCCTCACAGCTTTGAAGTTGGAAATCCCCACTGAATTTTTTTTGTCTTGTCTTTGGTGCTTTCTACGACTGGGAAGTGGGAAATACTGTCCCCTAGCTGTGTCATCTAGCAGCTTAGTGCCACAGAGCAATGATAGAAGGGCATAAACAGGTGCTGTGACCCTCCATGTTTACAAGAAGCTTAGCATCTAGTCTGACTGTTCGTCAGCTGCCTTTAAGTAACCAGCCAGTCTGCGGTGAAGAAAGGTTAATGTGTGAAGATCAGTTTTTCAGCTTAAAGTTCCTGTAGTGGAATTGCTGGGGGAAATTGCTTGAAATCAAGAACGCCTTAGATATTGTTTGGCAAAGCTTTTTACTGAGATCACTTCTGGAAAGCACCCCCCCCCCCAGATGGAAGAGCAACTGGGGGTCTTCCAGCTCCACTTGCAAATGGGAAGAAATAGTCATGTTCTAATCGAGGTGTTTGACTTGCTTTATGCATAGGGGAAGCTGGAGGATCGGAAGCCTCTGATGGTCTTATTTGGAGATGTTGCCATGCACTACATTCTCTCTGCTGCCCAGTGAGTACTGTCCAGCTGCTGTAATTTCACACAAAACTGCATACAGATGGCTTTCCAGATCTAATCTGCAAAAGATCTTGCTGCTCAACTGCAGCAAGCTGGGGTTGGGTCAGGAAAGAACAAAAACACTGTTTTTTGCAAAACCTGAAAAACTGCAGTTTTGTTGAATTCTGTAACTGAAGGACAAAGTGGTGTGAATATCTCACCTTCCCCAACGTTCTCTTTTGGCCTAAAACTGATCAGGAGGGACTCTGAGAGAGAGCCAAGTCTAAAGGGTTTAGACTTCAGTTAAGTAAATCCCACCGTGATAGAATTAAATTGCTCCAGTGCTCTTTTTAGCTACAAGATAGCAGTGTGCCCATCACCTACAGCGTGTGTAACTGCCACCCCTTTTTTTCCATTCCCCTCATTCCCAGGACAGCAGACGGGGAAGGCCTGGTGGAGAAGCACTATGTTTTCTTGAAAAGACTTTGCCAAGTTTTGTGTGCGCTGGGCAGCCAGCTGTGTGCGCTGCTGGTAAGTCTCTACTAATTCTAGCAGTAAGTCTCTACTAATTGCAGCAGCAGTCCTGGCAAGGCTGGATGAGGCAACCCTCATCTGGGTGTGGTTGGCTCTAGAGCCCTAAGGTTCTCTCCACACATTTGGAAGAGGCAGAAATGCATCTGCTTGATGATGGGGTAACTGTATTCTGCCAAGTCATAGGAATGTAGAATGGAGGGGACGTGCCTTGATTGCAGACCTCTGCTGTCACCAAGAACCATCTCCTGTTACCTTTGTAAACTGCTGAAGCATTATTGAAAATGGTTTAGGTTACTTGCTGTCTCTACTGCTACAGGAAAACTACTCAACAAAATTACTGCTGTGTTGGAAGCCTTTTAAATTTCCACACTAAATTAACTCAAAAGAGTATACCTGTTTGTTCTTCTACCAGGCTAAGAAAAGAAAAAAACTTGTGTCTTTCTGCTGTTCATCCTTCTAATGCTCTTTGTGTCAGTGTTGAGGGGAAGATGCACACTGATAATTTGGGTGCTGTACTGCCTGCTGAATGTCCCCCCCTCCCCCCTCCCCGCCCATTTGGCACACTGCTTCTATAGTAAGGAAGGCAGGCTTGTTGAGAGATGCTGTTTGTGGGGAGGATGAGTCAGCCAGCCTGTGAGAAGTGTAAAGAAGCAGGGTAAATTCTCACAGGGAAGGGGGGGGGGGAATTGTGTTTTTTTGGGGGGGGAGAGGAGGGGGCTGCCACAAAAACCCTAGCAAGAACAGACAGCAAACAAAGGATGAGTAATTGCTTCCAGCAACAAAGACTTTGCTTGCTGTTAGGCAGTAGAAGCCTATATTAGTCCATAAGGAAGTAACGAGATGGGGATCTAGGTTCTCTGACATGAACTCACTCCAGAGAGGCAGCACTGAGCTGCACAGCTTCAGAACGGGGATCTTGAAGGCAGCAGGTCGGGTTACAGTTAAAGAGGAGCAACAGAACCTCAAATTTATGGCACGCACTGGAATGTATGTTTCCCTGTCAGACCTCCTACAACATTATTAGTGAGAGATGTCAATACATATTAAACACAATAAAAATCTAGAGGAATGGGAGTGAAATCCTCCAAGTGTATTTGAATGTGGAATTCTGCAGTCTGCAGTTAAGAATTGCCCCACTTAGCTGGTGCTGGGTGCTCTTGGCCAAATAAGAACACAGCTGTGATGCACAGCAACAGTCATGATTATGCAGTTGGCTGTAGCTGAACTCAAGGATCTGAGAATTCACCTTTTTCTTTCAAATGAGAGTAGTGCTGTCTCTGGCACTTTCAGGCTGGTCAGCGAAACTTGCTACTCTTCAAGCTATGCCAGTTTCAGAACAACTCACCGTTCTACTGTGGTTTCTTCTCCCCTTCTTTACAATCTGTGGTCTTGGATATAGCACTCCTGCTTTACTGAGAGACATACCGCTTGTGACCTGGCATGACGTGAAGTTAGTGTTTTGTCTGAAATTGTTTGTCTTCCTAACAGGGCTCAGATTCTGATGTGGAAACACCAACCAACTTTGGAAAATACCTTGACTCATTTTTAGCCTTCACAACCCATCCCAGCCAAGTATGTAAAGGAATGAAAGTCTGTAATGTAGTATGTATACACATACATACTGTATATGAATGTGTGAATGCACAGTTAAATTAACCTATAGAAGACTGCAGAACCCCAGGTGCCGCATACTTGACAGCTGGGTATGGCTTTGTGATCTCTCCGTTTCAGCTGAAGATAAGGAATGCGGAGTAGTTTCTCCTGCTTCACTGCCCGTTAGGAGCAGTGCCTGACACAGAGGTGCTGAGTAATAATTGCAGTGTTTGAAATAAGCATTTATTTGGAGAGATTTTTAGCTTTCTGGAAGTTTGGGTTGAGCCGGCAGGGGGTGCCTTGCCCTCCACAGAATAGTCAGTGTAATTTACTATTGCCTTCTGATTGCAACACTTAAACGTTAGCGGTGGAGATCCCAGCACTGAAAACCTTCCTCTTTCCCCTCTTTTCCCCACAGTTTCTGCGCTCTTCCACCCAGATCACCTGGGGAGCCCTCTTTCGGCATGAAGTTCTGTCCCGAGACCCGTTGTTGCTGGCTATGATTCCCAAGTATCTTCGTGCGTCTATGACCAACCTGGTGAAGGTACGTGGGAGCTGTGGGGAGGTCAGTGTGCAAAGGAGCCTGGGTGAACATGGCCTGCAGATCACGGGGGAGAAACTGAAATTTTTATTTGTGGCTGCCAGAGACACAGTCTCCAGACTGCTGAGCAACAGCACTGATCTCAGCATTTCACTTGCTCCTTGCCTTTAGTCTTTATCTCCTTGAAGCTGGTATTAGCTGTGATGGGTGGCTTCTTTTCCTTGCTGACCTTGTCCGCTCTGTTTCCAGGTGGGCTTTCCCTCTAAAACAGACAGCCCCAGTTGTGAATACTCTCGCTTTGATTTTGACAGTGATGAGGACTTCAACGCCTTCTTCAACTGTAAGTTGCCCTTGCCCTAGTGTGGATGCCGTTTTCTGTGCCTTTCCTCTTATTTTCAGTTGCTGACTGAGCTTGGAGTCTACCATGGTAACTTGGCAGCTGCCAGGCCTACCTTGACTCTTCCAGCCTAGATCTTGGAGTTGGGTGAATTTGGGGTTTTCCTGTGGCAGCTCGGGCGTTTCATTTTGTTTATTCTTTGCTATCGCTTTGCTGTTACTTCGCCTGCTGGCGGGGCAGGCAGCCAAGTAGCCCTCACTACCTAGTGTCAAAGAAAACGGGTTTCTTGGTTGCCTGGAGGAAGAAACAAAATGTTAGCTTGGAGTCCTGTTCAGTGATTAGGAGAGAAAGGCAGCTTATACAGGATGTTAAGTTTTTCTTTCATTGCTGAAAGAAAATTGGTTTGGCCCTGCTGAGAAGCTTCTGCTTCAGTCCCAATAGCTAGGGTTGATCAATGAAAATAGCTGGTCCTAACCAATATCTTAAATCAGCAAACAGGAAGCACTTAATTTTTATAACTTTGTTTTTGTTTTGTGTTTTACTTCCCGAAAATGAGGTTGGTTCTCATTGGCTGGTATAGTCCAGAACTTACTTGGTGGCTGGGAGGATATACTGGATACTTCACTGAATTATATGTTGACCTATAATAAATTACTTAAATTCTTAGTTTTTACACTGATATCTGAAGATGTTAAGTGTCACATTTTTTTATTGCTTATTAGATTAGCTGGGTTTTTTTTATGGTATTAAATCTACTTGGGTAGAAACCAAAATGCAGTTAAATGCACAAAGCCAGAATTAGTTTCAGGGAGTTAAATGATCTTGAAGGTGTTATGTACATAAGAAGATAAAGCTGGTTTGAAATGCAAAACAAATTTACTTGATAAGCATTTTTTGTAAACAATGCAAGTTTTGTCTGTAGTCAGTTGAGCTGATGCTCATGTGTGGTCCTGTGCTGAAAGATTTTGAAACAAATGGAATTCTTGTTCTTGTACTTTATTTTTATTCATAGCTTTGAAAATGAAAACCAGCCTTCTTGTTTTTTTTTTTTTTCCAAGTTGCCATTAGCTTTTCAGTCTAGAACCTGCCATTGACCTGGATTGAAGAAAGTGTTGGTAATCTAATGCTGGTTTAGCATCTCAGTGTTTCATGGTGTAAGCAGAAATATGTACAAGTTGGAAGAATATTTAAATGAAAAATAGAGGCTCAATTGCAATAAATATGATTTTAGGATAGATTTTCATAACTCTTATTACATTTAAATAGCATTTGTGTAAATTCATCATTTTAAAATCCTTTTATGTCTCTTCAAAAAATTGTCCACCCTGTTTACCATCTGTATGTCTGGGCTTACTACATAGCTATTGCCAGAGCAGCAGTCCAGAATATTCCCAGGTCTGGAAAGCTGTAGGGTGAGTTTTGGGAAGGGAACGTTTGTAGCATCAGCTTGTTGCACGTGTCCAATTTTCACTGCAGCTTTTCGAGCCCAACAAGGAGAGGTAATGAGGATGGCTTGTCGTCTGGATCCTCGAACTGGCTTCCAAATGGCTGGGGAATGGCTGAAGTACCAACTCACAGCTCCTGTTGATACTGGACCCATGAACTGTAAGTTACCTGGAAAAGAAAAAACATGTTTATACACGTGGGATTTGGTTTCCTTTTCAAGCCAAGAAGCAACTTCTGTGCCTTTTTCCTAAACCAGACTTTTTGATGGGAGACCAGGACTCTACATTAGGTTTTAACTGGCGAAGACCTTGAAAGCCTTAAAAATAAAAACAAACCCCCACAAAATTAACCTTTTGCAGCCTACTCCACAATGGCTACTGTAGAGCCTCAGGCTAGTGGGGCAGCTCCTTTTTTCCCTCCCCAAAATCTCTTTGCAAGGCAGAGGCATCACTTCCCCTTTGGTATAATTTTACAATTATTTGGACCTGTCATCTCTGTAGCATACTAGTTATTTTTGCTCGAGGGAAGTTCAGCCTGACTGGCAAATCTTTCTGTCAGTCACCTTGCTTTCCTCCCCTGAAGGCCAGTTGGTCTCACTGAGTGCAGTCTTGCCTGCAGTGTTGAGTTGTGGTCCCTCCTTTTCTTTTCACTTGTGTGATTTGTTCGTGTTGCACCCTGCGGTATCTTGAATATCAGATTTGCGGCTCGGGACCCTTCGCTTGAGTAAAGCAAATCATACTGGAATACCTTAATTGCTTCCAGTGCATCCCTGACGGGCATCTGCAGGGAGAGGAACGTGGCAGAAATACTTGAGAGCACTAAAATGTTGCATTGTGAGAGCTTATGGGCTGGTGTTGTGTGTGATGGGAGGAACATGGTGAGAGCTCCAGTGTTCTCTTCCTTACAGCTAAGACGGGCGAAGGTCTCTGCTCCATCTTCTCTCCCTCCTTTGTTCAGTGGGATGCCATGACCTTCTTCTCAGAGAGCGTCATCAGCCAGATGTTTCGAACCCTGGATAAAGATGTATGTGTACCAGATGCTCTTGCCTGCTTTTCTGGCTTGTTCTGGATTGACGTGGGTGTTGTTCAGCTGTGTTGTCTTTGAAAATCTTGTAGTAAGCATTTACCTCCGTGCAAAAACCCAAATGGTTTGTTGAGTGATTATCGTGAGGAGCAGTGACGCTTTAGACGAGACCAATGTAATACTAGTTTTCTCTGTCGGACATGTCCTCGTTCTGGATGCTACTCCACGAGAAGTCACAGGAGAGCACTGAGGTGGCATACTTTTGCATAGAGCCTGCTGGAGCAGAAGAGGACAGCTTAGGTGGAAATTTCCTGAGTTTATTTTTTTAATTGTACCCTGATTTGATTTTTCTTTTTTGTATTTTTAATGAAATGAGAGAAACTCATCATCAAGGAGTACGAGATCAGATCAGATGCATTTTTCTCTCTGCTGTTCAACAGCAGGCAAATCAGAAGAAAGCAACTTTTTCTTAGCCTCCTGTAAATTGGCGTTTTATTGGATTAAGCTGCTCATGCACTTTAGTTCATCATTCTGATTACAATAAAATAATTATAAGGGTTGATTTAGCTGATTAAGCATGAAATCTGTTGGACTGAGTGAAAAGGAGAATCAGGAGACAAAATGGGAGAGAGAAGAGTTGCCCTTCTTAGAGGAGCAAACAATAGTAGGGACTTCAGACTGGCATCTTAAGACTGCCCGAGCAATAAAGGCAATGCTGCTGTCCTTCTTCCCTCAGCAAGTACATATAGCGTGCAGGTCAGCTGAGGTTTCCACTGCTTTTCTTTCTGCTTTGAGAACAGCTGTCTTCAACTGAAGGGTCTGATATCATAGCAGCAGCTCCTTGGCCTGGCTCTAGGAGCTCTAGGATGTGTGTTACAGGCCACAGTGCTGAGTGTTGCCTGCTTTTTTCTTTCCTCCTTCGCCCTCTTTTTCCCCTGCCTTCTATAGGAAATCCCAGTAAATGATGGCATAGATCTGCTGCAGCTTGTCCTTAGTTTTGAAACAAAGGATCCTCTCATCCTGTCCTGTGTGCTCACCAACGTCTCTGCTCTCTTCCCGTTTGTCACTTACCGACCGGAATACCTACCGCAAGTCCTTTCCAAGGTAGGCACCTGCAGACCATACTAAAATGAGGTAGGCTTTGAGTGGACTGAGGCCCTCATACTAGATGGCGTTAGTTAATGCTCTTGAGCTTCCTATGAAGCAAGGATGACTCCTTGCATTGAAGACAGGAGATACTGTCTCTCCTTTAACAAGACTCGGTCAACACAAACGTTATGGTTCCCAGCCCTAAATCATAACATTATGTGCACACTCTGGCCCATAAATACCATTTTTTATTTCAAGGCCTCTTTGTGCTGATGATTCATCTTTCCACTTAATCAAGGGTTCTTCACTGATGTAATGAAATCGCACCAATATCTGATGGTCTGTTCCTTGAGCTCAGAATACAAGTGAAGGCTAGATATTAACAAGTGACATGCGTTTTTGGATTTTTTCCTCCCTTTTCTCACAGCTGTTTGCTTCAGTTACCTTTGAAGTTATAGAAGAAAGTAAGGTATGTCTGGATTATTCTCTTTTAATATGCTATAACGGTTGGATCAAATTATATTCTGTTTTAGAGCGTGTGGAGTCTGAAGACTCCACTCTAGCAAGCGTCTCATGTTTAGTCCCCCTCCTGGAAAGGGCAGGGGAGTATAGACGATTGATCTCTTCTCTGTTGGTGTAGCCTAATAAGCTTGGCTGACAAGCTTAGAATGCCGCAGGCATATGTCTCAGGTCAGTGCACTTAATGCACAATTCTGTGCTGGCCCTCCTGAGAGTTAAATTCATTTGTGAGCTGCTGATATTCCTCAGTGGTTGGTGTATGTGGCTGCAGTGGGTGGCTGTAAAACTGCCAGCTGCTTTGGGGATGCTTGGAGTCTTGATATAGTCGATAAGATCCACAGCATCCACATTCCTAGAGCGCAGCTTGTCCGAACGTGGGCTTCGTGGGTTGGCTATAGCTCCAGAGGGAATTGGCTGTTACTATGTGATTGCTTGTGGGCAGGGGAAGGGAGGGTGGAAGCATTTCTTTGATCTGCACTCAACAGTGCAGAAAATTGTATGTAATGGATTTGTCTCTTGAAGATACCCTGCATTTGTCTGAACTTTTTGTTTTGTTGCATTGAAGTTTGTTATGTCTGTCCAGGCTCCTAGAACTCGAGCAGTGAAGAATGTGAGAAGGCATGCATGCTCCTCAATCATAAAGATGTGTCGGGATTACCCCCAGCTTGTCCTGGTATGTAAATTCAACTCGGTCCTGAGGAGCCTTCCTTCAATTTCAGCTGGATTTTGTGGGATTGTCAGTTTCCTTGGCTGCAAGCCCCTGTTTTAATTCAAGGAAAGGTTCCTGCTGCACAAATGGCAACCAAGTGATTTATTCCCCCTACCCACACCCCCCATGCTTGAGTGGCTCTCATATTTGAGGTAGCTTTTTTTTTTGCTGAAGAGTTGAAATGAGTTGAAAACAAAGCAGACAGGGAGGAGGAGAGAGGCAGCACTGAAACGGTTTTATGGGTATGTTTGCTGAATTTTTGGTTTTGTCACTTCTGGTGGTCTCAACTGATTCCTTAGCTGAAGACATTACTAATGACTGATCTCTTACTTAAAATAATTGAAGGAGCAAAAGGAGAGTATTTGTCTTCTGGATTAGCTTGAGGAAGTTAGAAAATACAGACATTGATTATTTACTTTTAAAATCCACTAGCTAATGTTTTGTTCGATTTCGCTGAACCAAGTAGCTCTGAACTCCTTTCTCTAGTAGTGTTTGTGTTTGGATGGCTCTAGAGGTATGGGAGCACTGGAACACACTGCTAAATTAGATAAAGAAATTTTGTGAGACCCCCTCAATTTGTGGCTACAGGTTAATCTCCAGATTGTAATAAACAGCAGCTGTTTTGAGGATGCTACTTAAGGTTGTTTAGAGGTTCCAGTCTGCATTTTTGCAACAACTGCCAAAACTTGTGGGTTTATCTTTGTCCCGTTCTGCTGCTCCCTGAACTCTCCCTTCCCCACAAGCAGCGAAATATCCTCACTGGAACAGCCAAGGGCCAAGAGCTGCCCCAAAGTATATTTGGATGACTTTGCTGAAGCAGATGATTCCCGATGCTTGTACAGTTACAAGAAAACATGGAAGGGTAGGGAAGAAACTCAGCCTTTCCTGTTGAGATGGTGATAACCATAAGAACATTTATTATACTAGTTGTGAGCAAAGAGAGGCAAGACTCCTGAGTCTGGCACGTCAGAGACATGGGAGCAAGCTACTTTCTGCCAACAAATAAAAGGACCAGAACTATTTTGAGGTGTGACCCTGCTGTAACAGATATGACTGCCTAGAGAAGGGAGGTTTCGTCTGCTTATTTCAATCATTCTGGAGACTTAAAGCAAACTGGATGCAGGATGATGATAGAGGGGGAGGGCGGAAAAGAGGCTGTTACACTGGACATTCCGAGTCACCTGAGACTCGGCGAGAGGTGGCTATGTAGAGAAAAGGAAACTAGCCATGCTCTTCCAGCTGTTTTTCGTAGTACAGTAAACCTCAGTCCCTACCCCTGCCTCCCCCAGTGACACCCCTCCACACCAAACACATGACACTGTCCTGCTTGGATATTTTTTCCAGCCAAACTTTGAGATGTTGTACAACCACGTGAAGCAGCTGCTCTCCAATGAGCTGCTCCTGACACAGATGGAGAAGTGTGCCCTTATGGAGGCCCTGGTCCTCATCAGCAACCAGTTCAAGGACTATGAGCGGCAGAAGGCTTTCCTGGAGGAGCTCATGGCTCCTGTTGCCAGCTTATGGCTCTCCACAGAGATGCAGAGGTAGGCGTCACTGTTCTGAGGTTTGTGCTGGAGGTATTGCCGGAGGTAGCATGTGCCCCAATAGGGAATATACGTGCCAAAAGGAAGGAAGGGTGCCTGGTGACCTGTGTGCTGGGCAGTCATTAGTTGCTTGTGATAATAGCCCTCCTGCTCTTGAGAAGTTGCCAACCAAGTCTAAGTGCTGCCTATTGAAAACTGCAATCTAAGAACTGTTGGAGGTGGTAGAGGGACACTTCCCAGCGTGCTCAAAGCACGTGCAGAAAATGGGAAATGAAAGATGCCTTTGCTCATTGCCAGGAAGCTGAGCTGTCCCACAGCTCTAGGCAGCGGCCCTGGACAGCTGGGCACGCGCAAGAGTTTTCCCAGAAGTACCACCTTTGTAAGGGATTCTAAGGCTTTGGATGGCCCATGGCCCAAGAAAACTGGAGATGTTTGGAGAGCGGCCAGATCTCTGCTGCTCTTCCTCAAGTTGCCATGTACAGTGTGGATTGCTAGCCAGCGTCTCCAGACCGTTCTATGTTTGTTGAGAAGTTCATTGCTAGTGTAATGCTCTGCTCAAAGTTCCCTGGTACAAACGATAGTCCCTAGCTCTGTCTTTTTCTGTTGCCAGGGTCCTCTCAGATCCTGAAGCCTTTATCTCCTATGTGGGTGCAGATAACAAAATTGCTGATCCAGTCTTGGAAGATCCTAGTGGCCTGAACCGTTCTAGAGTGAGTATCATTACCAGGAGAGGTTTAATCCTTAGAGTGAGATGACTCATCTCCTTACAGCCCTCATTTGTGTTGTGGCTACACGCACGGTCTCTCCTGATCGTCCGCTTCTTTAGGGTGCAGATCAGGAGGTTTTTCACACTGCAGAACGACAGGTCAACTTTTGCCTCTGAGCTTTAGTGAGCACGTAGGCCGTGCCGAAACAAATGATTCGGCAGAATGAAGCACTCTCTTCCCTTCTGTTTGTGTGGCAGAGTTAGGTTTGTGGGAATCAATTGGTTTACATGATTTTTGGAAATACAGTGACGTGAACTGTGCTTCTTGAGCCCGGCAGCATGGAAAACATCCTGCCGAGACTGCAGCCTGGAATATAATTAAAATTCTTCCTAGGAGATGCATGTTGTTTGAGCTATTAGTGACATGCCTTCGCTTCATGGACTAGCTGTAAATGGGGTTGCTGTGTTGAGGTCTGTGGAAGACACCGAAATAAAGTCAGTAGAGCTCTGCGTGTGCTCTGATATTAATGCAGAGCTTTAACATCAGAGCACAAGCTTTGACCGCTGTGAGATCACAGATGTCGCCCTCCATACCAGCACATGAAGGAGATGAAGGAGTAATGACAGAGACCCTTCCTTTTAGAGGGCAGCCCTGCCCTCTCAATGAGGTTTTTGCATACTCATGAGACTTGTGCATTGCTGCTTTGTCTAATAATAGTTCCTAGGCTGTCCTGCCGTGGCCAAGGGTCCCTGAAGATGATGGAATGTATCATAATAGGTTGCTGCATTTTCCTGACAACAAACCTACCAGAGTTTGTCCCTGTCACCATATTAGGCTCACTGACGAGTGTTCCATTTGAGATGGGAGGATGACAGGTTTTTCTGAAAACGTGTTTGTTTGGGTTGTGCTCTGGCTAAGAAACGCTCCCTCCATGTCTCTTGCTCTTGTTGCAGATAAGCTTTTGTGTGTACACCATTCTGGGAGTTGTGAAACGAGCTCGCTGGCCCGTTGCTACAGAAGAGGCTAAAGCTGGAGGATTCCTGGTTGGTTACATGCCCAGTGGCAGTCCAATCTACCGTAACCCTTGCACTGAGCAGGTCCTGAAACTTCTTGACAACTTACTTGCTCTCATAAGGTGGGTCAAGTTGACTTGAAATCATTTGTGCTGATTTAAGAGTCTCTGAAAGTCAAATAGTGATAAATACGAGGTATGCTCAGAGCATGTTCTCCTAGTGAAGCCAGCGGGAACACAGGCTGGTGCAGGTGCCCAAGTACTGTTCCTGACTGTTCACAGTGGGGAATGGGACTGGGGAAACTGGAGCCTTCTGAACGTTCATTGGCCTGGCCTACAGGAGACCATCAAAGCCAATGGGAGCTTGGGCTGGGGTTGCCTCCCCCACCTCCACTGCTATAAATCTGCCATCCAGTTAATCGTTTCTCAACTAACATCTCTGCTCTGCCCTCAGTCCCTACCAGGCCACCTCTCCGATCACCACCAGGGCAGTCCCAGCTCTCATCGCATCCAGTTGGCATTGTTCTCTCTTCAGTGTTAAATTAAGCTGGTTTTGCTGAATAAGAAAGCCAGTTTCCTGAAGCACTGTCTGCTGTTGAAACCAGTGGATGCATACTCTCAGGCTGTCGCTACCTAGCAGTGCCTCTCTGCACGTCACTGGTGTTGGGTACCTCTAGGCCAGCCAGAGGAAGGAGTGAGAGAAAGCAGAAAAGAGGAATCCTGAAAAATACAGTTCCCAGATTTATAAATGGGGAATCTAGCTCAGGGTAACTGCTGACACTGGGATTTAGCCAGACTATGGGCCAGTTTGTGAGGTACGCTGTGTTGTGTGCCTGAAAACTGGGAGCTCTTTCTGAACTTGGCAGGAGTCGGCTGGAAAGGAGCATTTTCAGATCCACTTACATTTCTCAGTTCCCAGGTTTGTGAGAAGGAGGCTCTATTACTGCAAGCTCTGTCTAGTCAGGTATGTTTTGTAGTCACTGATGAGCTCAGGACTGCTGCTTCTAGTGAGAAGCAACATGCTGGACTGGTAGCACAAGCATGTGCTGTCTTGGCCCACTCAGGCAATTGCTCCTCATCACAGAGCTCAGTGCAGTACAGTGGGTGGTACTTTGGCCTGTGGGCAGGGTTGAACCATCTTGTTATGGCTGTAGCACAGAGGAGCTGTGTTTGAAGTGGTTTTGCCTTTTATCCTGAAGGCCAAAGATCCTATGGACGAGCTCTTTGGGCGGGTCGTGTAGAGTAGATTTGTCTGAGTAGGGACAGCCTCGTGCCGATTCTCGCAGAGCACGGAATGTGCTCCATATTGTGCGAAACCCACTAAACCACCGTCCGAAGTTTTGAACAGTTTGCAATGGACAGGTTTTTTGCTGGTGCAGTTGCTGTTCTTGCCAGAACTGGTACATTGTTAAAAATGCTTGGGATCCTGTTATGACAAGCTTAGGAAACTAAATTACATCCTCTTCTGTCAAACTCCTACTGTACTACTTGTGAAAAAACAGAAACGCTGTGCCTGCTTTACCACCTCCAGGAAAATGCACAAGCTATGTTCTGTTGCCCGTGCTTCCCCACCAACACAAAGGAAGAGGCTACCTTGCTGTGTTTTGAGCTAGCGCATTTGTGGTGTTCAAGCTTCTCTGTTGCAGACCAAAATCTCCGCTTTAGGATTTTTCTGAGTGATTGGTAGCATACTGCAGTGGCTTGCACTTCACTCTGAGGTATCCAGGCTTTCCCAAAGGAGTTACATAAAGCTGGGTACTCCAAGAAGAATGAACAGCCAATGTATTGAGAGCAATAGATCCTCCACTTGATACTTTTCCAGGCTGCTCCTGGATGTAGACGCCTCTCTCTGACACCTGCAGGCTCGTATTTGTTCAGCTTAAATGTGCATGATGCTTATGTCTTTCTGGAGAAGTTGGAGCTTGTACTTGGCCAGCAAAAGTCACACCGGAGGATCCATAGCACATTTTTCATGTACTGCTTCCAAGGACTCTCTTTTAATATGGATTGCAGTCTGTAGCAGCCCGTCAGAGATGGGAAGCACAGAGTTAGGAGGAATGCTGCCTGTGTTGAGAATGCTTTCAAGAACATAGTTGCATTATTAGTTGAGGATGGAGGCTTCTCTAAGCTCTGTGCCATTAGGCAGCTCTCGGGGGACACAAGCCAGGTCCAGTGTTGCTAATGTACCGATGCAGGAAGGGGGTGTAGACCTCCCTCACAGATTGTATCGATTGCTGTGGGAGCAGAACCGCAAGCAGCAGCTGCACAGATCCTCCTGAGCAGCTGGACTGAACACCAAGTCAGGTACCAGTGTGCAGAGAAAAGGCGTTTGCCACTGTTTGCTGAACAGTTGGGTGTGCTGGTCTCTGGACGTTGCGCGGTGTTTTATGCTGTGTCTGCAGATAAAACAGTGAAAGTTGATAAGCCATTGGGTTTGCACCAAGGTAGGCAGTTTGGAGACAGCTCATGTTTGAGACCAAAGAACCAAGAGGAATGAGAGGGAGCCCAAGTCATGGGGAAAATAAGGCAGTTTTGAGTGGCATAGACAGAGTGGTGCTTTCCTTGCCAGCCTATCTTTTTGTGTCTAGCCATATTTGTATCTGTGGTAGCCGAATGTGCTGAATGATCATATGGGGCTGCTTTGTTCATCGCTGCTTGCAGCTTTCTGAGTGATGGTTTTCCTGTCCTTTGTGGTACCTCATTTCATCTAGCTGTTTTCTAACTTCTGGCTTAAATTTGCTGAACAATTTTTCTTTCTGGAGTTTAAATCCAAATCACATCAATCTCCAGCCACCAATACAATTTCTGCCTTTAGAGAAAGACACACTTCTGGAGTCAGCAGATGCATGGACTGATTTGTGCAGCACCTTTGTGCTGGGATTTGCTCATGTTTTATCGCAAATGGACTAGTCAGGCTCAGCAAATGCTTTGCATGGACAAAGGCTTCTTTGGAACTTCTCTCGATGAGATGCTGACGTTGCTGCGGCATTAATACTGGTGGCAGAATGGTTGTACGGACACGGCATGTCATGAGAATTTCTAGTACAGACGGCTCTGCTGCAGGTTGAGACTACTTCAAGCATGGACTCTGCACTGTCTTAAAGGAGTCATCTTCTGCCTATGAGCCCACATCTCTAGACAGCAAAGACGTTCTTTTCAGCAGAGCTGTGACCGTCTCTGAAAACACATTCGCCACAGCCTGTCATATCCTTTGCGTGTCTTATCTGAATTATAAATGTCTCTTGAATTTTGTTTTCCCATGTTCTCCTGTGTATGGGATACCCAGGAGTGTTGCTCGCTGCTGAGAGTCTCAGCTGGACCATGCCTAGGGGCTACATCTTCATCATGTACAGGGATGCTGGATGACATTTTTTTTTTAAGCTCCCATGGGGAGCAACTGATTAGCCATGTTCTCTCTGTTACCACTGGGACCTTGCTGCAGTGTAAATTAAGGGAGATTGGCCTGTGAGCAAACATTTGCTCTCCCAACTGTCAAACTTGAGAAAATGCTTCAAGGACTCTGAAACAACTGAGGACCATGACTGCAGCTTCAGGATGTGACCCATTCTGACCCATTCTGTTGGGGTCAGAGCAGTCAGATTTCAAGGTTCACCCCACAATTCTGCAGTCCTTGGGCTCGTCCCACTACCTTTCTGTCTAGCGTGAGGTGAAGCCAACTTTGGCATGGAGCAGACAGGTGACATAAAAGAGGATAAGATTTTAGGAGCTAGGTTGCAGGATAGCATCGAGCAGAAATGCAGAGTTTTCTGAGTCAGTGGAACAGCATTATCCAAATTTTTGGAATCTAGGCTTCTCCCTGGCCCCTGCTGAGAAATTAAAACTAGCTTCTGCCCCCTTTGAGGCCTGTTGCATGGTGTTAGATCCAGCCCAGAATGAGAGTATGAGTGGTTAAGTCATTTGTGTAGCTCTTTCTTACAAAACTTACATACTTGCCTTCCACATAAAAGAGGATAAGATTTTAGGAGCTAGGTTGCAGGATAGCATCGAGCAGAAATGCAGAGTTTTCTGAGTCAGTGGAACAGCATTATCCAAATTTTTGGAATCTAGGCTTCTCCCTGGCCCCTGCTGAGAAATTAAAACTAGCTTCTGCCCCCTTTGAGGCCTGTTGCATGGTGTTAGATCCAGCCCAGAATGAGAGTATGAGTGGTTAAGTCATTTGTGTAGCTCTTTCTTACAAAACTTACATACTTGCCTTCCTCACATGCAGTGAGCAGGGAAGTATTTAACACTTGCAGAGAGAAATGGGATAGTTGCCATTTCGGAGCTAACTCAGGCTCTCTGCAAACTCAGGCTCTCTGCAAACTCAGGCAGACGTCACTGCATCGGGGTTGCCAGGATTGTGAACAGAGACCTTCCAAAAAAAAAAAAATCATTAAGACATGAGTGAAAGCTGAGACTCTGGAGAACGTACTGAGGTCTGTCCACGCTCCCTCCCCCCAGCCATTCCCACGCACCCCCCCGCTTTGGGAAACGCTGCTCTAGGGGGAGATACTGAGTTGCCCTTGATCACCTCTAGCAGCAGGTACAATGGCATTGCAGTTTTGGAGGAGGCTGCAGGATTTGTGCTGTGTGCAGCTGGCGACACCCAGAGTGGAGGTCTGAGGTCTCAAAGGAGAGAGGTAGGTGAGAGAGATCCCCTGCCGAGTCCAGCTCTGAGAGTCAGTACCCTGGCTAAGAGGGGACCCGTTTTGGCCTGGATGGCAAGAACCAGCCACCCGTGGCTGAATTGGTGTCCCTCACGGAGAGCTGACCGTGGCTGCCTCCTGATTATGTGGAATTGTTCCCAGTTGGATGCGTTTTCCAGAGGGCATGTGTGTCTGCCACGAGTAACACCTCTGTTGGACTGATGTTCTCCCTAGAGTCCCTCCAGTGCCGCCTGCCATTCTGGGGACTGTGACCCATCCCTGGGGGGCAGTGTGTGTATTTTGGAGCTGGAACAGCCTCTCCCTCTGTAGGGGGCTTAGGTGCAGAAGATCTTTTGAGATTACAGAATCCATGTCTGTCGGTTTTTAAAACGCATTCTCTGATCCCTTTGGCCAAGCTAATAAGCTGTTGCCAGCATCACTTGGAGAGCTGCTGGGAGTTTACTGCCAGCACTTGCAAGGGGTGGGGTGAACTGAAGAAAGTGGATGGGGCAGCCAGGAGCTTCAGGACATGAGGTGGAGTCACTCCACATCTCTGTCGGGTGAGCTTCCCCAATATTTTCGCAGGTGGGGAAGGGGGATCCCATGCACACGTGCTTGGTCTCACCTTCCTCATCGTCTGCCACAGAGGAGCTGTTCACAAGCTGAAGGAGAGGATCCCATTGTCAAGGGCAAAAGGGGTGGACCCACACCAGTATAAACCAAGTGCTCTTCTGTTTCAGGACTCACAACAATCTCTACATGCCAGAGATGGTGGCTAAGCTGGGGGAAACGTTTGCAAAGGCCTTAGACATGCTGGAGGTGGAGAAGAACGCCATCCTCGGTAAGGAGCTTCTCTTTAGGAGGAACGTATGGGATCCCTGAGTGCTCGTGCAGAGACCTGTCCCAGAGGGCATGAACTAAGTCCTGCACTCTGGCCCTGCTGTTTGTTTCTAGGCACTGTATTAAAATGAGGCTTTTGGAGCCTTCTTAAAAGGAGGCCTGAGCTTGTAAACCCAGAAGGCTTTCCAGCAAAGCAAAAGTGGGTGGCCTTGTGGCTAAAATATGGACCGTGACTCTGGAAACTGAGGTTTAGTTTCAGACTCTGCCAGAGAGTCAAAGACTAGTGAAGTTGCTTTGTCTTTCTTGTCTCTCTTTCTTATCAGTAAGATGAGGAGATGCTTCCTTTACCTGTTTTCTATCCTTTACCTGTTTTCTATCCTTTACCTGTTTTCTATCACCTGTAAACTCTACCTTTCTGTGAGCTAATGCACATAAAGAAGTAGAGCCCTGATCTCTGCTGGAGATTTACTTATACCGTGGTTCAGGAGTAACGTGTATCCCAAGAGAGACGAATACAAATCTGCAGGGATGGGCTGTCAGAGGAGTTGTAGAACTGTCAGCTTTATTTCTTCCTGGGTTCTGATGGCTCCAATAAGTTTTGGTTTTGGAAGAACGATGAGGCTACAGCAACCTTAGCTGGAGCATCTTTACAACCATCTGGAGCATCTGTACAACCAGTTCAAATTAAGCTGACCTCTGCGGGAAGGTTCCCCCGCAGTGTTGCTGCCTCTTGTGCCTTTCGGCTGCATGTGACCTTGCTGAGCGTTTCCCTTGCTGCCGTCTGGGCCTTGCTGCTGCTGGCTGGGGCCTGTCCTACACACTGTGAAAGGTGCGCTATGCTCTTATTAATGAAGCTGGGTTTATTCTTTCCGACAGGTCTCCCTCAGCCTCTGCTGGAACTTTATGATTCTCCTGTTTACAAAACGGTCTTAGAAAGGATGCAGGGCTTCTTTTGTACCCTCTACGACAACTGGTAAGAGCACCAGAGCTTCCTTGTGCAATCTGACATGGCATAGCCGCTGCAGAAAGCCATTACCGGGTGCAGCGTTGTTCTAGACTTAGACTTTTCAAGTGCGCTGTATCCCGTAATCTCTAAGTGCTAGGAGCAGTGGTGAACCTCACTTAACAGTTGCAGCCTACCATGCACATATGGAACACGGCTGCTGGAAGAAGTACGTAAAAGGGTGGATCTGCTCATTCCAAATCCTGACTTAGCTTGTTTCTTTGCTTTTAATCCCGTGTTAGGATACAATATCAGCACTTGAAAGTGTGTGTTAACTGTTTAGATTACTATTAATTCATTGCCTTTCTGCAGGTATCCCAAAAGGGAGATCCTTTGCTAAAATTTCTCTGTAGTGTTTGTGTAAGAACATGGCAACTGTCTAATGTCAAAATGATAGCTCTGGCAGCCTTTGCCAGGTCAGAGGCATGGTACCTGCCATCCAGCACAGAGCAAATTAACTTGGTTTTGCATTGTAGTTTCCACATCCTGGGAAATGCAGGCCCCTCCATGCAGCAGGATTTCTATACTGTTGAGGGTCTTGCCACCCAGCTCCTCAGCTCAGCTTTCGTCAACCTCAACAACATTCCTGACTACAGACTGCGTCCTATGCTCCGTATCCTTCTGTCGCTGTTTCAGGCCAGCTAGGGAAGCTTTGAGCATGTCAAACTAAAACCTGCTGGCCTTCTGGCATCATTTTCAGTATGACCTCACCAAGTAAGGGTGTTTGGGAAAGTAGGCAAACAGGGATACGCGTGCTGTGGCAGAAGTGTCAGCCTAGCAGGGCATGAGCAGGAACAGCAGTGCACGGGATCAGAAATATGTACAAAGGATTTGTGCTGTCCTAATGCACCATGAGAGATGGGGGAGTGCCTTTTGGGGAGCAAGGGGGCTTGGATAGCGTAGGCGTTTGGCAGGAGAGTGTCTGACTAGACTCGGTCCTTGTGTGGGAGACCATCTGGGGTTCCCAGCCCACTTTCCAGGGCTGGACGTTCAATCCACAGCTAGGAAATAGGCACTAAGTGCCCTCCTGTTGGCTCTCTCAGCTGAAGTGTCAGGGGAAGAGGCTGAACAACTCACACTCATGTAGAAACACCACTTGCTAATTCAGGGCTGTGGCTAGCTGGGCTTAGAGGTGTATCTGTCACTTCATGGCTGGACCAAGTCTTTCGCATTCCCTCCCACAGCCTGATAGGTGATGTTGCCTGCGTTGTTGTTCAGTGAGCAATGAGTAGCTGTTAGCAGTGGGAGGCAGGGAGCAGACCCTTTGCCTCTCCTAGAAGAGGAGCCCTGGCAGCCAGCCACATGTGCTGGGTCTCTTCCTTAACTGCTCTGCGCAGGTGTGTTTGTTAAGCCCTTGGTACTCTCCTGCCCTCCAGAATACTATGAAACCCTTGTCTGCCCCATGCTGGGACCACTCTTCACGTATCTGCATGTGGTAAGAAAACAGCTGGTTTGATGCCTGTTCCTGGGCTGCCTGGGCTCCTTGTAGCAGCAGGCAGCAACACGTGAGAATGCCTGTATCTCTCCAAAGCCAGTCGGAGCAAGGGCAGAGCCCTGATGCTTAATGATTTAGAAATTGTCCAAGGGGGCTTTTGAGGTGTGTTGAACTCTGGCTGCCCCCCTTGTTGTGAATTCAAACTTGTGGATATCAACTCCCAGTCTTCAGCCATGCGAATTTCTGTAAGGCTCTTCTTGCCTGCATCCCCTCGTTTTCCTGACAGCTCACTCAGATTCCTAGGGCCAGCACAGCCACAACAGCTTTCTGGCTCTTCGCCACAGTTAACTAGCAGTTCCTATCCCATTCAAAGTCGGGCTTAGGATGAGAGCTGTATTAGAAACTCTTACAAGTGTTTCTATCAGCAGTTGTCACTGTTTCCTAGTGACTAGTGTTTGGGCCTCTTTACATTGTATCCAGGATGGCTCCTTAGAAAGTTACTGAATCTTCCCTTTTGTCTTGGTCTTAAACAGAGGTTGTCTCAGAAATGGCAAGTGATCAACCAGCGCAGCATGCTTTGGTAAGCTTCATCGCTTGAATACTGAAAGGGGAAAATGGGGAGTGGGCTGGAGCTTTCGTCTTTCAGGGGGCCCTTTTGCCCTGGGGATGGGAACAGGCCCATCAGCAGAGCGCTAAAAAACACTGATCCTTCTGGAACTTTGACTTAGCTTGCAGCTCCTTGATTTTTCACTTGGACTTGCGAGTAAACAGATAATGCTGGTGAGGAGTTTCCACAGCCCATCCTATTCCTGGCCAGTTGCACCTCACACCTCAGTATTCCCCACCTCACGAAGGGAACGGCGGTCTTAGCTAGTCCTCAGTCTCACTTTCTCTGTGTTTATCCTGATGGTGACTCACTCCTGTGCTTGGGCAGAAGGGATACCTTAAGACACTGGCTCCCCTCACACTAAAATCTGTTCTCCTCAGTGAGGATGATTCTGCAGACGACAATCCTGAGTCTCAGGAGATGCTTGAGGAGCAGCTGGTCAGGCTGCTGACCCGTGAAGTCATGGATCTCATCAGTAAGTGAAACCAAGCTAGGTCCACTGGAATGTTTGGGAAGTTTGCCCTGGAGAGGACTACAGGAATCTCCAATTTGCAGTAAAACTTAACTGTTAGAGATTAACATAATCCTTAGAAGCCAGATGTGAGACAGGTAACCCTGTGAAAATCTTACCTAAAGCCTAGTAAGAGCTCAGTTTACAACCTTCAGAAGAAAGTGTTATCTTCCTTTTGTTTTGTTGGCATCTAGGGCTCCGTGTTTTTGGTGCTGTCACTGTAGGAGTCCAGTCCTCTTCTGGAATCTGGGTTCTTCCTTTCTGTGCCCTGGAGTCAGATGCATGACATTGATTTGTGGACAACCTGAGTGTAGAGCAGTTTTGTTGCTGGCATTTGCCATGTCTCCAGCCAGTCAGAAGGACAGAGTTCTTCCTCACAAGCAGGCCTCCTTTGTGTTCCCTTTCTCCAACTTCATGTTTTTGCCAGTGTGGTTTTGAGCAGAGAGACTGGGAAAATTAACTCCACATAGAGATGAAAGGGCGTCAACCTTGCATCTCCCTTCTTGATTAGCCTCATTGCTGTAAAATGCTGCTTTCCTCGGGTTCTAGGCTTCAAACAATTTTGCATGTTCCCGGTTCTTGGTAGTTTAAAGCGGCCACCTTGCAGCAGGTTCCACCAGGAAGGATACTGAGAGAGGGGTGTTTCAGGCTTCCAATTAGCGCAGCGTTTCACTTCAGATCCTTTGTAAAGAACAAGGTCTAGGGAGAGCTGGGGGGAGCTTGAAGCAGTTGTCAGCCTTTCGGATTATGCAGGATAATCTCTGCATGTCCTCAAGTAGCATCTTCCCCTTTGTGTTCCTCTGACCTGCAATTGTTTTTGCAGCTGTTTGCTGTGTTTCTAAGAAAGGTGCTGAGCATAACACTTCTGCTACTGTAGACGGAGATGGTGAGTAAATGCCCACCTTTGCCTTTTCCTCTCTTGGTGCGTGCTAACGCTTTTCCCGTTTCTTAAAAGGGAGCGCCTGGCCTGCTACTGGAGGTTGTGTGTGAGAGGTGGAGGTTTGGTACCAAGCCTTCAGCTTGTATCCTGCCGCACTTCTTGCCTGGGGGCTACAAAAAAAAAAAGGGTCTAGCCTAGGGACCACTGCTCTGCTGTAGAGCTCTCAAGTAGCATGTGGGAAACCAAGCTGCTGGAGCAGCGGCTTCTTAAGCTACCAAGAGGAGGGCGGAGGAGAGAGGGGATGTGCACAGTCATCTTTTTAGCTGGAGAGTAGCTAGTTGGGTACCCTTCCTGCCTCACAATGGCTGGGTGCTTCCTGCTTGGAGAGAGAGAGATGTTCTGGCAAGATGTGCCAGTGTACTGACTGTGTGCGCTATCCTCCGGTTCCCAACTCGGTTCTCCGTCTGCTCCTCAGACCTGGGGACATCACGCTCTTACTGCTGCCTTTTCTTTGCTCTGTAGATGATGAGGTGATGGCCACAGAAGTGACTGCCCCTGCCAGCGCAGAGCTCACTGAGCTCGGCAAGTGTCTGATGAAGCAGGAGGTAAGGGCACGTGCTCTAACTTGCACCATCCTTTTTCTGCACTCCTTGTCACGCTTGTGTGCAGTGCAGCCAGACACTGCTACAAAGATCTAGTCTGCCTGAGCATTCGCCAGCGTGAGAATCATTCTGGCAGGAACATCCTTGTTTTTAAGGGCCTTGTTAAGTTGTCGCAGAAGCCACAAAGCACTCACAGGTCGGGATCCAGCATTACATGGAGCTACGGTGTTTTAGCTCCTCTGTGGCCTTCTACGTGGTGAGGCACTGGGCATTCAGCCTCACAAGGCGTTCCCTGGCCCTGCACCCATCCTGGGTTCCAGTCCAGAAAGAAGAACTTCACAATAACTCTTTCCTTCTGTAAGATCTCCCGGAGCTGGCTCAGGAGTCAGGAGCGTTACTACAACCCACCACGCAGAGTATCTTCCCCCTGACACTTCTGTACTCCACCTCTCCTGTAAATGTCTCAGAAGCTTTGACACTGATTTGAGCAGCTGGTGGGCACTGGGGGCGCTCCAGGGCCTTCCCTGGAGGGATGAAGGGAGCAGGTTTGCCTGCAGTTGGTTCCTCATGGCTGCAATCATGCACACTTGAGTGCCTTTGAATGCTTTCTGCTGGAGCAGCAGCAGCAGCAGCAAGCAGGCTTCCCAGAACATACCCCTGTGGAGGTACTGCAAATTCCTTGGGCTGTCTCTTGGCTCCCTTCAGACATGAATCTTCAAGGTGGGAAATAATTCTTCTGACTGGTTTATCTGCTGACTCCTTTTCAGGATGTTTGCACTGCTCTGTTAATCACTGCCTACACATCCCTCTCCTGGAAGGATACCCTGTCATGCCAAAGAACCACCACGCAGCTTTGCTGGCCGCTGCTCAAACAGGTACCTCTGGGAGAAAGAGGGGGCTCGTTCTGGCATGATTGGGAGAGGAAGTGCTGAATGCAGTGAGAGGCATGGCTGCTTCATCCCTGGGCATCTTCTCCTTGGGAAGAGTAAATTGCTGGAGAAAGGCAGTCATGTATCAGTATGCTGCTTCTGTGCTGACAGTGCCTCTTCCCCAGGTGCTCCCAGGAAACCTGCTCCCTGATGCTGTGTCTTGGTTCTTCACGAGTGTGTTGAAGGGGTTACAGACACATGGGCAGCACGATGGCTGCATGGCAGCTCTTGTCCACTTGGCTTTCCAGATCTACGAGGCCTTGGTGAGGAACGATGCTCTTTGTCAGGATGCCAGGTTGGCTGGGGAGTAGTGGAAAACTAATCCTGTGCCAGCTTGGGTGAGAGGAGCAGAGGAGCTAATGGCCCCCCAAGGAGGGCAGGATGGCTCCTTTAGCAGAGCTGTGTTGACCGTCCTTCTCCCCGCAGCGCCCTCGCTACGCTGAGCTGAAGGCAGTGATGGAGCAGATCCCAGACATCCAGAGGGAATCTTTGGAGCAGTTTGAATCAAAACTTCTCAACCCAACGCTGCAGAAGGTGGCAGATAAGCGCCGGAAGGATCATTTCAAGCGCCTTATCACAGGCTGCATTGGGGTAGGTGATATCCTAGAGCAAAATGAACCTGTTTCCTTTCACACCTGTATCCCACAGAAGTGACTGGGCAACCAGCCTGCCTGCTTCTATCCAGTACGGCCCTTTCCAGCCAGGAGGTTGTTGCAACACGTTCTCAGGATTTGTACTGGGTCTTTTCAGCCTGGAGCTAGGGTAGGGATGGTGCCATACACTGAGTGGCACCTCCAGTAACAACTTCTCACCGAGAGGCAGTGGGTACTTTGGCACAACAATACTTATTGGGGACAGGACGTTCACATGTTTGAACAAAGCTGCTCGATAGTTGCAGGGCTTTTAGTGAGGCTCGGGAGGTTGGAGTCTGAGGTGTTGAGTTAGAGTCCCGGGAGTGTGGTGCAGTCGGCACTAGTGGTTACCATCGATGCCCTGGCACTGTGGAAAGACCAAGCCTGAGATTCCCCAAAACCGAAGCAGGGAGAATGGGTCTAGAGATTGCTCGGAAACTGGGGCCGGACTGTGAAATGCAAGTAGGTTGCCCTTGGGCTGAGTGGACCTGTGAAAGCAGTAATGACTAAAGCCTGCCTGTCTGTCCTCTGCAGAAGCCCCTTGGGGAGCAGTTCCGCAAGGAGGTTCATATCCGGAACCTCCCATCTCTCTTCAAAAAGGTGAAGCCATCACTGGAGACAGACGTGCTAGAGAATGAGGATGGAGAGGGCCTCACTGCACTCTTTGAGCCCTGAGCCTGGGACACTGCAGCCATCTCCTCCCCTACCTTATATTTGGTCTCTCCTCATAGTAAGCACATTAGGTTCTCTCTGTCATCTCCACGAGCATTCACCTGAATAAAGCCCCTTACAGGTCCTGTCCTGTTCTCCCTACATGGGGATGGGGCCTGGGGTGGCATTTGATCCAGTCCGTTAAGCTTTTTTGATTCCTTCCCCTCCCCTCTGAGTATTAGCAGCTTTAGACCTCTGCTTCTCTGCAGGGTGGAAGCTGAGCCTACAGACTGGCAAAGCCTGGTCATTCTCTAGCCTTGGGTGTCTCTAGCTCCACCTCTTCATCCCTGGGCATTTAGGAGTGATGCAAAAGGCAAAAGAGTGCCCCATCTGAAAAGGGGCTGCCCTAATCTTACTCTGGGTGGTAGTAGCCAGGCTTTGCAGGGAACACATCAGACACTCCCGTCATGCCCACAGGCACTTGTCCCTAGTGGACTTGTCTTCTGATGAATCTCTTTC